TGCTACTGCTATACTACTACTACTACTACTACTACTACTACTACTACACCTACTACTAGTACTACGACTACTACTACTACGACTACTACTACTACTACTACTACTACTACGACTACTACTACTACTACTACTACTACTACTACTACTACGACTACTACTAGTACTACTACTACTACTACTACTACTACTACTACTACTACTACTACTACGACTACTACTACTACTACTACTACTACTACTACTACTACTAATCCTACTACTACTACTACTACTACTACTACTACTACTACTGCTACTACTGCTACTACTACTACTACTACTTCTACTACTACTACTACTACTACTACTACTACTACTACTACTACTACTACTACTACTACTACTACTACTACTACTACTACTACTACTACTACTACTACTACTACTACTACTACTACTACTACTACTACTACTACTACTACTACTACTACTACTACTACTACTACGACTACGACTACGACTACGACTACGACTACGACTACGACTACGACTACGACTACGACTACGGCTACGGCTACGGCTACGGCTACGACTACGACTACTACTACTACTACTACTACTACTACTACTACTACTACTACTACTACTACTACACGAACTACTACTACTACTACTACTACTACTACTACTGCTACTACTACTAATACTACTACTACTACTACTACAACTACTACTAAAACTACTACTACTACTACAACTACTACTACTACTACTACTACTACTACTACTACTACTACTACTACTACTATTATTCGTATTCTTCCTGCTCCAAGTATTTACGGCGCGCCGGTGTTCCTCGGGTCCTCCTCCCCAGATGGGGAGGAGTCCGAGGGGGGGAGTCAGATACGCATACGTCCCTGGGGGACCTCCTCCCCCCTCCCCTCGCCTCTTCCACGCCGGTCCTCCTCCAATCCTCCTCCCCAAGGGGGGGGGGGTCTCAGGGGGGAATCCTGTTCCTTATCCTTCTCCAATTCCTCCTCCTCCTGATTTCCGCCTCCTCCTCCTCCTCCTCCTCCCACTCCTGGTCGTCGTCGATGTCTTTCAGGGTCGGCGGCACTGGCTAGCAGGCCTTCACGATCAGTTCTCAGACCACTTCCTGGGTCCGTCCGACGCGGTTTTTCACCCCGGATCGAGTCTCGGGGGCTCCCGGGCCCCCGCAGAACCTCAAAGTTCTCCCCCCCGTCACTCGCCGCCGACCTTCGTTCGCGCCGCCCGCCCTGCGTCCCAGACGTCCAAAGATGCTGGACTCCGATGGCGCCTCCTTCCGCGGGCGCGGCCGCCGCGACGGTGGCGGCGCCGTCTTGGGCCACCGCCTCGTTGCCGGCGGGGCTGCTCGAGGAGGGCCGCCGCCCATCCGCCTGGCGCGGCCTGGCGTGCGGGGTGGGCCAGCAGGGAGTGGGGGAGGAGGAGGAGGAGGAGGAGGAGGAGGAGGAGGAGGAGGAGGAGGAGGAGGAGGAGGAGGAGGAAGACGACGAGGAGGAGGAGGAGGAGGAGGAGGAGGAGGGGGAGGAAAAGGAAGAGGATTTCTATGGATTTCTCTCGGGGCGCAGTCCCGTAGGAGGAGGAGGAGGAGCAGCAGCAGCAGGAGGAGCAGGAGGAGGAGGAGGGGGAGGAGGGGCAGGAGGAGAAGGAGGAGGAGGAGGACGAGGAGGACGAGGAGGAGGAAGACGAGGAGAAGGATTGGATTGGATCGGCTCCTCCGCATAGCGATGAAAGAAAAAAGGAGAGGAGCAAGGAAGGCCTGGCTCCTGCCGCTTAGGACTTAAGTGGCTTCCCTGCGACAGAATACTCCAGATATCTCCGAGTGGTGGCTGTGAGCTTCTTGGAACACTCTAAGGCCAGGTTCTTCCTGAGCTGCTCGGCCCCGAAAACCCACAATCGGAGCAGATCCACGTTTGCAGGAGATGGGAGTGGAAGGCCGAATGATAGGGTTGAAACCAGCCGGTCCCCAAATTAACCTTAAACCCCCTTAGCAGACGAGACATGTTGTAATCTACAGGCTCTAAATCGAAACAACCGGATCGCATCCACTCCACTCTCGTGTCGTGGGATGCGCTACCTCTACACCTGCTACACCTCTTCCCACAATCACTGATGACATGAAAAGAGCAAAAGAGGGCAACGGTGGCAGGTGCAGGAGGGGGCGGAGGCCTGACAAATGGAGGGGGTGACGGGGAGGGTCGCGCACCCATGGCATCTAGGGTGGACCGTAGGAGCCTTCTGCGGACCAACGATGCCTCTTGCTCAACTTTGTGCGCCCTCGTGCGCACAGCCTCGTCCACGCAATTCAAGTCTGCACCAGTACCAGCAAAGTGATCCGCCATAGTACTCCCAAGCACTAGGATTTCAAGATATCCGCAGGAATCTAAACTGCCAGCTTCGATGTGTGAAGGAAATTGCAGCACAACGATTTGCGAAACAATTCGCTGCTGGGCTCGAATGAGATCTCCGATGCATTTCCAGGTGAGCGAGTTGGAGCCCTGGGGTTCCTGCCAACACTTGCTGTACCACCCGCCCGCCGCCGCACTGTTATCGGTAATATACACCGTGGGCCTGGTGTACCTCAAGGCCAGGAGGAGGCCCCAGAGTTCCCCGCGGGGCACAGTTCGAGCTCCATGGAGGCCTCCAACAACAACACCATCAACAACAGGGGGACCAAAGCTAACAAGCGAACGAACCCCTACGCCGCAACGTCGAAGCCGCGGGTCCCTCGAGTTCTTCCCTCCGCTCGCATCCCCGAATACAAAGACAGTCTGCTCGAAGGTGCCCAGGCCGAGCGCGGAGTCCATGCTCGTGCTGTTGTCCCTGGCGTAAAACTGCCAGGATTCACCTTCGGACTCGCTTGGCACCTGGGTCCACAAGCTCGAGATGAGGACTCTGAACCAAAAGCACGGCTCCGCCTCTTAGCCCGACTGGGCCCTCGGAGCAAGAAAATGAGATTCATCGTGAACCTTGTGCCCGCGATTTTTTGAACGCAGCCAATGTCGGTGCAATGGTGTTTCAGGTCCTTCGCCGCACCTGGGGCATACGTCGCCGTCGATGGCCCCAGTCTCCGCCAGGGCCCGTGACAAAGGCCACGTGCCACCAACTGCTATAGACACCATCGCCTCTGCAAGCCTAGACCCATTGGGAAAACACTGCAAAAAACGAATGGCATCCCTGAGAGAAGCGTTGCCAGCCCCATGCTGGAGCCCTTCTCCGCACAAATGGGAAACCGCCGGGGTCCAGCGCTTTTTCCTGATCGGCCCCCCGAAGTCGGACAGCAAACCTTAAATGTTCCCCGAAGCAGGGGCCTGATCGTCGGGGAAAATCCAACCAGGTCCAGGCTCGCAATTACATGATGGCATGCCCCACTCGGTGGGGGAGATAGGATTCCAGCCAAACTCCAGCAAGTACCCGGTAATGGTGGAGATCGGCCCCCGCACATGCTGGGCAACTTGGCTCGGTGCCAGAGCCCGCAGCTGTTGCGCCAGAGACGGCCTAACTGCTCGGACTGGCGCGCGGATGTTGGGCTCCTCGAGCCACGTGCGAAGCCGAAGTCGTAGGCCTTCACGCGGCAAACGTTACTCGGGATCGTGCCCGTCGGCGCGCAGATCCCATGAAGCGGTTAAACAACGACCTCGCGTAGCCGAAGAAAGGGCATGTCCGAGACGACGCCAACGCCGAAGACGAAAACTCCCGAAGGCTCCCGTGATCTGGTGCCCGTTGGCCCCCGCCGCCTGTGGTCCCTTCTCGATAAGCCCCATGCTAACATGCTTCCAGGACGCCTTGGCAAACCCATGGATACGTTTGCTCATCGTCTTGGCTTTGACAACCCTCTTGCAACGAACTTTCCTGGCCATCCCCCCAACTCCGAGGTCGACCCCGAGGAAATTGGTTTGAAGAGCATGCCGAACTAGAAACCCTTTCCTGCGAAGCTGACGAACGACGTACTTAGCATCGGAGGGGTGGGAGGTGAGAACAACGCCCTTGCTGGCCACAGGGGGCCCGTGCTCCTGCAAGATCAGGCGCGCGTTGAGCCAACCTCGGTACAGTCGCGCTCGGACGAGAGCGCGAGGGCTGGCAGTGTGCGCCGCGCGGTCATCGACCCAGATCCGCATGGACATGTGCGGATGGGCTGCGGCGAGCTGCTGCAAGGTGAAAAAGACCAAACATCGCCCAAAACGGGTACCACTTCTGAGGCCCTGAACGACGCGGCGGAATAAAATCCGTGGAGCCAGACCCACAAGATCGCAGGAGGGAACCCCGGCCTCAAGGCCGAGCGGACCAGGGGCCCCCGCTGCGCGGCGTCGTGAAAACATTCTATGTCCAAGAAGCCCGCGCCAAAGGAGATCCCCATGCGTGCAAGTCCTTCGTCTCGCAGAGCCCGAAGAAATGCTTCGCGGAGAGGGGAATTCCCCGCCGCGGCCGAGCCCCAGCCGGGCTGGGGGTCCTGAGACCAGGTACGAGTAACATCCTCACGGGCAAGAGACCGGGCCCTAGAAAACAGAGACATGAGACCTATAACTCTATCCCCCCTGTCTTTCTTTCCAAAGAGCCCCCCAAGAACCGCCAGAATCTGCCAGGGCCACGCAATGCAACCCTCGCAGGCCTGAAAGATGCCGGCGAGCTCGAGGGGCCCTTGGGGGGGGGGGGAGACGCTCCATATCTAAAGGTGTGAGTTCGTCGACCCCGCGTCCTGCTCGAGCCCTCATGGCGCGCGGGGCCTTCGAAACTCGATATGGGTGCAAAGGCTCAAGCTGCCCCGCAACTGCAGCAGCGCGGATCTCGGCGTGGAAGTCGACCACCTCCGAAACCTTAACCTGAGTGGGGCCCCAGAGAGCCTGCCACTTGAGCGCTTTCTGATCGACAATATCCCGCGGGCGAACCAAAACACGGCCCCCAGTGCGCAACTCGTCGGGGACTGCTTTAAGAGAGATTTGCGGAGAACTCCAGAGGCTTCGGGGGAGGCGACCCACTCG